TATACTCCGATCGGAGGATAATTGTAGTATAGTTTATACGCAACCTCGTCCCCAGTGCTTACTTAATTTCCAACCGCGTTAGTAAACCCTGGATAGGAAACTTTCTTCCTGTATCCTGATTGGATACCGCAATTGGCTAGTAATGGATTTTTATCGTGTACTTGGTGCCATATATTCACAACGTGCAGTACGTGTTTTCGCGATCATTCGCCCACGCCTTCTCGAAAATACTAATTTCCTTTCCAATTTGCTCATATTAATATGAAATATGATACTGCATGTTGTCTCGATAACATCGTAACAGTTTGATTTAAAAAATCGTGTTTTCGTAACTCACGCCGTGCTCGCGCTGCTACGAATTGACTCTGTTTTTACCCCAGACACCGCATACAAAAACAAACGCTAATGTGTAACGCATATCCAGGCACCAGACTGTTCCTCATTTGCATACGTGTGCAAAAATCTTGCACATGCAAATGATCCAATACCAGGGTGAGAGAGCAAGTAGTGGTGGGCGCGTACTGCTCGACACCCTGGGGACGAAGTTGGTTTATACGGCGATCAAAGTATAACGCCCTCAACGTTCACTTATTTCCAGAGTTATCCGTCGATCGGAGGATGTTCCCTGATGGATGGAATACGTGAGTTGTGCCGGTAACTTTAAAACACGTTCTGGCGCCGAGCTAGCCCCATAAATGTGGCCTATTTACTGGACTGCCTCCGTAGGCAGTCCAGTAAATAGGCCACATTTATGGGGCTAGCGCCGAGCGGCCCAGGTACATCATCATCATACATGTTGTTAGAATTAGAAGGCTTCTCTCCGTCAGCGGAGAGGAGAAGCCTTCTAATTCTAGAACTAAATCTTAAAATTAATGTGGCCTGACGTTGCGAACTTTGCAAGTTCTTCTTCAGAGGCTAAAACAGAAATGACAGAGGTACATACATTAACATGGGGGTGCACACAAACATGCAGGGCTGAAAGAAGAAACACAAAAGGAGGATTAGGTGTGGAAAGATGCAGGGGAGGGTGGATGAGAGAACAAAGAAACAAAGGGAGATGGCAAACCACAAGGGGTCTTGTGTAAACAGGGGAGGGACCAGAAAGGGGAAGGATCAAAGGTCACAGGGAGTGGGAACGGACAAAAGAGTGTGAGAGTGAAGGGATATGATGGGGGGGGGGGACAGTATTGAGGTGGAAAGGGATGAAAGATGGGGGAAGATGGGTAAACACAAACAAGGAAGACCAGATGGATTATCTGTAACAGAAGACAATGGAGGAAGAAAAGGATTAATCATTTCCAAGTTGGATGTTGAGACCATGTGGTTGAATAGTTCGAAGACGATTCATCCACACTTTCTCTCTGCTGAGGCGAACTGAGTCCTTGCGATGGCCAAGAGATTCAATGCCTTGCAAAATCATATCAGAAATGGAGTGGTTAGGCAGGTTGAAGTGATGACCAACAGGGGTGTCTAGTTTGTTGGTGTTGACCGTTGACCGGTGGGCATAGAAACGCTTCTTGAGCGTATTCTTAGTCTCACCTACATACTGCACTCCACAGACCCTGCAAGAAATGAGATATATGACATTAGAGGTGTTACAAGTGATGTTACCAATGGTTCTGTGGGTAGTGACAGAAGAGTGGCCAGAAAAGGAGTCAGACTCCTGGATATGAATCTGGCAGACAACACATCTGGAACTGCACTTGAAAGTACCATGCTGGGTGGGAGGGGATGCATCTAAGGAAGGGACTTCAGCTCGAACAATCAAGTCCCGTAGATTTCGAGGACGCCTGTAAGCCAATGTGGGGCCGTTGGGGATGGCGCGGGCAAGGCGATCTGAAGTATGGAGGATATGATGATTGTCATTAGTGATTTTGCGAAGGGGAGGGAGATTGGGGTGAAACGTGGTAACCAAGGGAATCATGGGTTTGGCCATGGCATCAGGGGCCTTTTCCGTGAGAGCTTGATTTCTGGGGATAGCTTTAGCTCTGGCAATGGCACGATGAACTTGGCGAGAGCTGTGACCCCTGGCCACCAAGTTGTTCCTCAGTATCTGTGTATGGCGAGAGAAATCGGAATCATTAGAACAAATTCTTCTGAGTCTGAGTGCCTGGCTAAACGCTATGCCAGTTTTGCAGTGCCTGGGGTGACAGCTGGAGGAGTGGAGGTACTGGTGGGTGTCTGTGGGTTTGGAATACAGGTCAGTGGTTAGTGAGTTGCCTTGCTTGCGGACGGTGACATCCAGAAAGTGGGTTTGGTGAGCCGAGAACTCCGATGTGAATTTGATGGTTCTGTGGAAGGAATTGATGTGGTTAGTGAAGGTCAAGAGACTGTCCTCATCACTGGTCCAGATGAAAAAAACATCATCAATATATCTCCACCAGATCCAAGGGCGACACGGGGCCGAGGCAAGAATGCGTTCTTCGAGGTCGCCCATGAAGAGGCAAGCCATCGACGGGGCCATGCGAGTGCCCATTGCAGTGCCGTGTACCTGTAGATAGTGTTCACCAAGGAAGGAAAAATTGTTCTTCGTTAGTATAAGTCTCATGAGGGTGCCAACATCACTGATGGGAGGAGTCGTGTGTCCTGCCTTGGCCAGAGCCAAGGAGCAAGCACGAACACTCTCCTCATGTGGGATGTTGGTGTACAGAGACATTACAAACAGTTCAGTCGCATCTTCCATAGACGACCACGCGCGTGTACTTGTAGTGGCATGAACACGACGCGCTCTACTCCATAGCGATTCTACACAAAGCAAAGAAAACGACGGCCTCACGGCTGTTTCCAAGACTTTCAGATTAATGCACACCGAGTTTAAACTAGAAGATATATTACTTAAACATTCTGGAGGAAAAAATTTACAAAATGAACAACTAAACATCCGTACCTGGTACATTTCCCTACTTGTGACAACACGCACATTTTGACTAACAGCAGAATGAGCAACGGAGATTTGCACGTAATTGACAGTGTGACCGGCGGGCTACCGCAGTGTGCGTACTGCACTGAAAGTTCCCGGATTCATGACGCGCCGTTACTTCAAGTAATAAATGCACACTCGGCACTGTAAAGAGGATTTTGTAAGCTTCATTTTGATCGGTCATTCAATGCAGTTGGTAAAACTAATACCCCGTACCAAGGACCAAACAAATTTGTCTACTCAACAGACCTTTGGCCGCCATAAAATAGGCGAACATCATTTTGCTACGCTCCACCACTGTGTTGTTACAAAGTAACAACTCAACGCGCGCGCGCCGCGCGATCAGGCGATGGTAGACTTGTACTGACACACACGGCGTATACACACATGCAAGGGATAAACGCAATTGCTGCGACAAAACCGTTCCACACGCACTTCACGTAATCAATAACTGACTTAATAAAGTTTAATACTGCTGTTCATGTTGCGACTCGCCGTGTACAAACTGTTTGTAATGATGAGACGTCGAAAGTCCCAATGATGGCTGTGCTGGGAATCTGGTCCTTGATTCCTTCAAGCTTGCGTAGGAAGTCTGGGGTGTCGTGAATGTATGACGAAATCTGTGGGACAAGGGGTTTGAGAAAACTGTCAATGAACAGGGAGATGCGTTCCGTGGGTGAGCCATTACCGGAGATGATGGGTCTACCGGGGTTGCCAGCCTTGTGAATCTTGGGTAGAAGGTAAAATCTGGCAGTCCTACAATCACAGGGAGAAAGAAATTTGTGAGCTTTCTTGGACAACTGGTCACGTGATCGCATATCGTCAAGTACCTGTTGTATATCTCGACAGAAAGTGCCTGTGGGGACCGGTCAGAGTCAAGGCGGGTATAGTTAGTGCGATTATCCAACTGGCGGTGGGCCTCATCAATGTACTCGGTAAATACTAGCGAAATCACTCTCTCTTTTGATCCGCTACATATAACCATGTACAATTTTGCCCATACGTAAATCACTTACTTGTTAGGCTTCCTGTGAATTTACGCGAGTGTTGGATCTGTCATTGCAATGCATTGCCAAGAAATCTGATGTAAAATACGGCACAACTTTGTCACAACGAACATGACAAACATTTTCAAAATGATCAGAAAATCAAGAACAGGCGTGACACTCTGGTACCCCAAGTTTCGTTTGCGCAAAACGGTAGGAGTACCACCAGTGGGTACCCGACTAACCGTCTTACATGGCAGGATGACCGTAATACTATGTAAAAATCTGCTAAATCCACTTTAAAAGTCTGCCAAATCACCCAGTATATATTGCTGGTCCATTGTGCAAGGATTTGTTTCAGGGATCTTTCAATAAATGAAGGTTTTTCAAACCAAATGTGCCAAATTTCTCTAATCTTTTTCCTTCATCTTCATAATTCTGCCAAAAAAAATATTGTGCTGGATTTTCTGTACAACTCATTTTTTGTTTGCAAATATTCTGTCAAATGTAGCCGAAATTCGGCTAGAATGGTCACTCCATCTTAGTAAACGCGGATCACAATAGAGTGTTTTTACTATAGATTGAAGCGTGGCTATGTATATAGCCACGTTCACGGGTCTATAGCCACGTTCACGGGTCTAGGGGCGTGGATGCGGGCCTGGACGGACAAGCATCTTGCTGCGAACACGGCGACTACGGCAAGCAGTCACAAAATGGTTGACGATGTTGAATTTGTACTTGGGCGGGTGGGGTCCTTCGGTGAGCCGGACCCCATCATACAACCAACTTGGACCCAATACGAGCAGAACTTTTCATTTCTTTGCAAATTGAAACATCGACGTGATGAGATCGAGAAATAAGCTCTGTTGGCTGATGTTTCAGTACTTCGACCTATTTATTCTTAGATTGGGAATTAATTTTACAAATGATTTATCCATATTTTATTTTTTTCCACTGGCACTAGCTTTCCAGTACACCCACTGGAAAAACCACAATACAAACACACTAAGCAAGGACCAAGCACACTACATGTACTAACACGTCTAGGTGATACGTAAACATTATGCGCAGCCACAGCCCATGCTCAATTATTCATGGTAGTGCTAGTGGGCACACCTGAGGTACCGGTATATGCTCGCAAATTTCAAGGTAGGTCTGCCCGAATCGCCAAGACTACTCCTAGAACTAGTATGAGGCGGCTACTCCTAGAACTATGAGGCTCCACGTAGTGGAGCTCCACTTCGTGGAGCCTCATAGTTCTAGGAGTACTACTAGGCGGCTTGTTCGTAAAAACGAACATAATCCAAATCCAGTTTTGGACCAAGCAAGACTACATTCGATAAGGCATCTGGGTCAGATTTTACCTGACAGTCTGGTCATAGTTGTGTAAATTAGCCTACACTTCTTGTCAACATGACAATTGCTTGTGTCAATTTTACGGGACACGTCCACATATGACCCAGAAAAGTGACCCAGAGAGACGTCATTTTGATCCAGTGTCTGCAGGTCAGATCTCCCCAGGATACAGTGTGGAATATCATTGCTTTGCTACTGAACTACCACAATGATTGAAGTCTCCACTGCATTTGTACTACATTATGCCAAAATTACTGTTTTGTGACCCAATTTTGGAAATAAAAAGTGCCGTCTTTAACCCAGAATTAGTCCAGAGTTAAATCTGACCCAGAATCGAATCAGGGTCCTTTTTGACTTAGGGTCAAAGTGGCACTTTTCTGGGTCTAAATGACACTTTTGGCAAGGTTTCCAGGTCAAAATGATCTGGGAAACGATCAAGAGAAGTGTCATAAGTTTACCCTGCAAAGTGTAATCGTGACCTTGAAAAGTACACTCTAAAACTAAAAAATCCAGACAGATTTTACCCGGCGCGGAATCCGGGTTATGTTTGGCCTGACACTTTATTCTTGATCGAAATGACACTTTATCGGGTCAAAATTACCAGAAAATGAATCAGACAAAGTGACAATTCATTATCATTTTGACCCCTAAAAGTATCAGGTCAAACTTGACCCTGGAGTTTTGAGAGTATCAGGTAAAACTGACCGAGGACTTTTTAGAGTGTATGTCCACCAACTTTGCTGTGTTTCTTGTTTTTGACAGCTCTGGTGTTCGATGGCTCATCGTGTCCTCCGCCAGAAGCGAACACCGGGAATGATAACAACACGATCCTGGCATACCTGCCCTCCAACGTGTCAGTCGCCCCTATCTACTGGACCAACCCAGTGCTGGAGTCGCCGCCTGCCAGTACCCTTGAGTACATCTTTTGCGAGCCTGACCCCAACATGGATATTGACATCTACTGCCGGTCGGGGGACGAGTTCCCTGTGACGTATAATAACGATAATGATGGGCGCATCAAGGTCATTTACCAGCTGGTTGATCCGACTCCTCCCGACTTCGAAAATGGCGATTGTGTTTTCTACATAAGGATTCTCGGTAAGTTACACTCTTAAAAGTCGCCAGGTTCAGATTTGACCTGACACTTTCAGGATTAAATTTTGTTCTGGGTCACAGCAAATCTGTGTTGCGATTTTATGGAAGAGTATCAATAATAATGCTGATCACAAGTATCAAAAAATAAAGCTGCCTTGAAATTTTGTATGTTTATAGATAAGCTGCATGAGGGAAAAAACCCCTGTATCGCTCTTTTACTAAGTCAAATCAAGAAAAAAATACCGTAAATAGGAGTCTTTCGTCAACAATTTTTACCCCTCTAAACAGACAAGGACGCTCCGACGATAACTTGCCCGCGGCCGTCGAATGTCAACGAGAACACCGACGCAGGTGCAACAACGTATACATTGGTCTACAGTGCGCCCGAAGTTGCGGACAACTCTGAGGGCGTGGTCTGGAGCTCTGACATCACAAACGGCACTGCCCTCTCCATTGGTCCCCACGTTGTGACGTTTACAGCTACTGATACTTCTGGAAATACAGCCGAATGTTCTTTCACTGTAACAGTTGAAGGTATTAAAAACATGTTAATGGCTTTCAGTGAACTTTTTTTTAGTCAGGGTTCTTCCAATCTTGATGTCGACCAAAAATCCTATATCGCCATGTCTTTTTTTTATGGCCGAGCATGTTGATCGGACGTATCGATTGTTTGTAAAGTACTCTTCAAGTACTTTTTCTGATTGGTTTCCAGACTCTGAGCCTCCTGAACTGGACTGTCTGGACTCCTTCTCCATCACCACAGCAGTGGGCCAACCTTACGGCGTTGCATCTTGGGTGATACCGACCGCGACCGACAACTCCGGCGATGCGCCAGTGCAGACCGCCAACCTGACCAGCCCTGCAAACCTAGGCATCGGCATCCATACAGTGACCTACGATGCCACGGATGGTAGTGACAATACCGCCTCCTGTACATTCCAGATCACTGTTACAGGTAGGGAAATGTAACTATAATGCGTCTATCTGGGGTTTTCCTTAGAATATTCTTCTGGGGTTTTCCTCCCACCTCTAAAACTGTGAATTTCTTCACATTGTCTTCTCTCTACAGGTTCTTCAGGCTCTTGAGCTGCAGTGCCTATATACAGGGTGGATAAAAACAACGAAACCAACATATTATTGCTAATTGGAACGAAAGTAGGGAACATGTGAATCAAAGGGAGATATCCTCTGTTAGGGTTGAATCTCCTCTTTAAAATGACACCCTGATCATGTCATTACATTCACGGTTGACTGAGCAGTGACCAATTTTTATGAAAGGGTCTATTTAGAGAATTGCGCCACTTTTCATGGTGAAATCTCGTTTTCCCCCACCTGCCTTGATTGACAACCATAGCCTTTCACTCTGTGACAAATGACACAACAAAAACCACAATTGAAAAGTGGCGCAATTCTCTAAATAGACCCCTCCATAAAATTGGTCCCTGCTCAGTCAACCGTGAATGTAATGACATGATCAGGTTGTCATTTTAAAGAGGAGATTCAATTCTAACAGAGGATATCTCCCTTTGATTCACATGTGCCCTACTTCTGTTTCAATTAGCAATAATATCTCGGTTTCAGTTTTTTTTTATCCACCCTGTATAAAGAGCACTTTTGAGGAATCCTTGGTTTCAGATAAAATAAAAAACTACAATGATTAAAGGCCAGAAATTGTTTATCCAACTTTTTTTGCTGTAATCAGCTCAAAACACCACGGTGTCGAAAGTCCTGAGACATTTGTTTGTGTACTTATTTATTAAGTTTTCAGTTAAAAGTAACAGTTGAACTGTTGACCATTATTAAACTATTTTTCATTAATATACAAATTCAGCTTCAAAATAATTCTCATATTCATGTTCCATGCTTTTTTGCAGATGAAGAGGCTCCAGACTTGAGTTGTTTGACTTCGTTTTCTATCGAAACCGTGTTTGGTCTCCCATACGGAACGGCTACATGGATGATCCCTACGGCCAGCGACAACTCGGGTGAAACCCCCGTGCAGACTGCGAACCAGACTAGTCCTGTCAATCTAGAAATCGGCACCTACACCGTCACCTATGATGCCACTGATGCCAGTGGTAACAGTGCGGAATGTTCATTCAAGATAACAGTCGTCGGTAAGTGTAGTATACAAGTAATGAATGTTTATGAGTGCAAAGGTAAGAATAATTTCATGAGGTGAGTGGAACGTTCCATTTCATGAGGTGAAGCTAAGTGGAATGGGACATTCCATCTGTTACCGAATGAAATTATTATTTCCATTGCACAAATCGAGCAATTCATTATTTGTTTTGTACAACATCTGAATAAATCCTCGTTATCTGAGTGGTCAGAGCCACCAATAGTTTGACCGTGCAACAAAATTTATACTTGCCGTGGAATATTACCTTGGGTTGGGACGAATAATTGAATGATATGTGATCAACGACCAACCACTCAATGTTGTCTCTCATTGCGCGTTGTGTGTTCCATCAGCTAGAGAGAGCATGGGCGTCGTGAGGTGGGGGGGGGGGGGGGGGGAGAGAACAACATTGTTGAACATTGACCAGGGGAGTGGGTGACCGTGGGAGGCCAAGGTTATTTTCAAGTGTCCCAAGCATTTTGGCCGGGATTGTAGATTCAAGAGCAATTCTGACCTTGGACATTTGTTTTAGTGTGCCTTCCATTCGAGTTAATTGATTCTGCTTCCTTTCTTTTTTTTCAGAGGGAATTCCACTGTCAGTAACTTGCACTCCGTTTTCCTTAACGACGGACTCCAACAAAGCCCACGCCACATACACACTGCCCTTGAACCCGGACGTAATCGAGCATAACTCTGGGAGCTATACCGTCGAGACCACAGTCACCACACAAGACGGGACGCCAGTCTCGCACACTGATGGGCAGAGTGCCCAGTTCAGTTACGATGAAGTTTACAGCGTCCAGTACTGTGTCCAAGACAGCACGACAACAGAATGTTGCACAAGTCAACTGGCAGTTCAGGGTAAGCATTTTGAAAGCAGGAGCAGTTTGATATATAAACATATTTCTTTAAAAATTATAGGAAACCCAAATTAAATGGAAGATGCTTATTGATGACGTCACACATTCCTTGTTCCAGCGAAAAGATGTTTTTTGCTCCATTCTATGAAAGAAAACTGTTTATTCCATAACAACATTGTGCATGTTTTCCTGTCATCGGCTTCTCAGATTTACTCACATTCTTAAAACAAATCCCAAATAAATGCATAAACCGAGCTGCAAATAACCGTTCGATCGGTGACATTTTAATAGAATGGTTTTCATGTAGAAAAAAAATTGTGCTGAAAGTTGGTGACAATTGGGATTGGATGTTTTGAAATATTTCAGATGACGAGGACCCGGTAATAACTTGCCCAGCAGCGTTCGAGACAGCCACCGATGCCGGGGTCGCATATTACAATGAATCTCTACCCGCTGCTACGGTTACTGATAACTCTGGCGAAGACATAATGTACATTCCAGAGGATGGCCCTTATCCACTCGGCACCAACACTGTCACGTACACTGCCACAGATTCCAGCCGCAACAGTGCTAGTTGCACAGTGGAGGTCACTGTGAAAGGTAGCCCAGCATATTTACTTGTTCACACAGACATACCTTTCACATTACAAATGGTTTGTACACGGCGAGTCTCAAAATAAACAGCAGTACTCAACTTCACTAATAAGTCGCTCCTTGATTATGTGTTGTGCGTGTGCAATGTGACTTTTTCGCAGCATGCGTGTTTATCCTTTGTGTGTGTGTGCACGGATACCCTGTGTGTGTCAGTGCTAGTCTATCATTGCCTGATCGCGCTATAATTTGGGGGGTTTGGGTTCCGCTTTTTTGTTTTTACTTACCCTGTGTAGTAAGGACACTTTAAACGCCCTGTGAAACTATTTCTTCTGCCATGCTGTCATATTGAAGAAAACATAAAAGAAGTTCATTGCCAAATATGTGTCAAGTGACAAAATGTTTTGGAAATTTCCGTTAGTAGTAGGTTAGTAATTGACCAATTGTGGTAGAATCTCATCAACGTAGCTTGTGAAATATTGTCCAATTATATCATATACAAATGGACGCGGAATGTGCAAAATTGGAGGCAAACAAAATTTAACGTACACAAGTCCATATAGCGTTGTCTGAAGGTCAATTAGGCGAATCCGTGAATGGATGCACGCAAACATTGGCACGAGGCGCACGTGTGTGTGGTTGCTATTATTTGTCGGTTCAGTGCGTAACATTGCATAGATACAATCCTTTAAATGAGAACATGTGTTCCGGATACTGATATGGGCACAATTCAAAATATGACTCAGCAAGTTTTAAAATGAAATCAAGATCCTAGAATATTGTTATCTCGGAATATACCGCATTCACAGAGCTCAAACTTCATCAAGTTAGTTGTTGAGCACCCGTCTTTAGATTTTGAGCATTTTGGTTGCTTCAAACGAAACAAATGGCAAATGATATACGCTACCTTTAATTATTTTCAGGAGCAAAAGCCTAGGCTTTTGTTACACAACTATGTATTAGAATCACCAATTCTCATCATACACAAATTGGTTTCAGCTGAAAATCATACCTCTTGCAATGTTCTTCTTAATTTTTAACTGAGAGTCATCAATTTTATTAATTACTTTCAGGATCACAGTTGTATTAATGTGTTTAAATAATAATTACGCCTGTTTTCTTTCTCTTCATATATTTTTCATTCAAACTTACTTGTGTCGGTGAACCTTCAATCATCCTGCTATTTTTGTCAACACACAACCAGCTGTTGCTAATAGACTAGTTTTTTAATTTTCTTGTTTTTTTTGTTGGTTTCAGACGAAGAACGACCAACCATTCTCACCTGCATAGATAGCATCGGCACGACCAATATGGGATCAGGCGTAGCGACGGCCTCCTACGAACTACCCACTGGCATCGATAACTCGGGCTTAGAAGTCACTGTTCAGTGCACGCCGGTACTGGGCACCCTCCTCCCACTAGGAACTCACACGGTCACCTGTGTCTTCCGTGATCAAGCGGTGCCTGTCAATATCAACCTTTGCTTCATAACGGTGACTGTAGGTGGTAAGTTGAAACCACTTGATGCACTCTTAAAAGTCCACAAGGCCGGGCGTCATCAATCCCTTCTCAAAGGTGGGGGGGGGGGGGAAATACCTTGATCAGAACTAATGTGAGCGTGAAGCGCAAAGCCATAACAGTGGGGGTTCGGGGCCTGCTTAAGGGTCCTGGATAATTTTGGATTCTAGATGCTGTGTGGTGTGATCTGAGACAATTTCTGACCACTTTAACCATTTGTTTTAGCCAAAGAACATCATTTTCAAGTTTGGAGTCTATGACTTAGGGGCCATTCAAAATTTTCAATGTTTTTAAATTTTGACGAGGGGGGGGGGGGCATTTGATAGGCGTATTAGGTTCGGGCAGACCTCACACAGAAGAGGATCACTGGAGAGAGATGGGCAAGTTGTGCTGTCAGGTGACTCACAATAGCCTAGGCCTTTCCGTAGAAAAAAACATTAAAAATAAACAAAAACCTGGGTCTGAGAGAGTCCAATTTCTTCACAAATATTCATCTCAATAAAAGTCTGTTTGAGATTTCGTAATTATTTCTAAAATGGGCCCCTTTAAAAGGTTACAGTCAATGACAGTAAACAATAAACATAAGCATGCAAATAGAAACAATTCACCCCAGACATGCAAGACCATAAAGAAAATGCCAGACGGAGATTCTATAAAATTCCCAAAACGTCTTCTACAATTAATTTTGGAATGAATACAAAATTATAGTTCATTTAAATCATAGAGGAAAAAAACATGACCCAAACTAGGCCTATGTGTTTTTTTTCCCCCGGAAACTGAAAATTCCAATATAGTCATTTTCCTAGTTCCGAATTGCAAACATCATTCAGGCTGCTTTCGGCTCAACTACTGCACAAATTCAAGTGACATTGATTAAAAAGTTTACCCTGAGTGACAGAGATGTTACACAACAATTTTCCAAATTTAAGCCCTTTTAAATTTGACTTGACCCTACTTCTATGTAAGCGTGCGTGGGTGGGTGGGTGTCCGGATAAATCTTGTCAGCGCGATAACTTGAGAAATACTTAACATATGAACTTCATATTTGGTTTGTGTATTGTTCTTGGTAATCCTAAGAAGCCTATTACATTTGGGACCAAAAGGTCAAGGGTCAAGGTCACAGTGGCTAAAACAATAGAAATTTTGTTAGCAGGATAACTTGACAAATGCTTCACATGTGAACTTAAAATTTGGTTTGTGGATTGTCCTTGGCAATCCTCAGAAGCCTATTGCATTTGGAGCCGAAACGTCAAGGGTCAAGGTCACAGTGGTTAAAACAAAAGAAATTTTGTCAGTGCGATAACTTGAGAAATACTTTAAATGTGAACTTAAAATTTGGTTAGTGGATTGTCCTTGGCAATCCTAAGACGCCTTTTGCATTTGGGGATGGTCAAGGGTCAAGGTCACAGTGACTAAAACAAACATGTGAATTCCTTTAGGGAACTAACCCACCGGGCCGGTTTTTATGTGCAACCGCTATGAGAGAACACGGCGAAAAAATCATTAAATGATACATGGTCAGCCAGACACCCTCGGCTACGGATAATGTGGACACCTTAACTGCAAGTGACATCAGTTGTACAGATGGGAATGGCAATTCAGTGGTGTCAGCGGGCACATACACTTTGGGCACCACGACGGTCACGTGCACTGTCACTGATGCCGCTGCGAATATGGATACATGCATGTTCACCATAGAAATCATAGGTAAGACTGGGTAGTGGCTCTTTGTCCTGGATTAATGGAACTGAGTAGTTTTTGATTGACTGACAGAAGTTGCGGATAGAAAAGGCAAATTTGTTTTTGGCGTCCAGCTCATTTATTTTCTTTTGATTTAATGCTGCCTAACAGATGATGAAAACCCTGACATCACATGTCCTGCCGCAGTCACGGGCATGTCTACGGACGCTGGAGTTGCGACTGCTGTCGTTACATGGTCAGCCACACCCTCGGCTACGGATAATGTGGACACCTTGACTGAAAGTGACATCAGTTGTACAGATGGGAATGGCAATTCAGTGGTGTCAGCGGGCACATACACTTTGGGCACCACGACGGTCACGTGCACTGTCACTGATGCCGCTGCGAATATGGATACATGCATGTTCACCATAGAAATCATAGGTAAGACTGGGTAGTGGCTCTTTGTCCTGGATTAATGGAACTGAGTAGTTTTTGATTGACTGACAGAAGTTGCGGATAGAAAAGGCAAATTTGTTTTTGGCGTCCAGCTCATTTATTTTCTTTTGATTTAATGCTGCCTAACAGATGATGAAAACCCTGACATCACATGTCCTGCCGCAGTCACGGGCATGTCTACGGACGCTGGAGTTGCGACTGCTGTCGTTACATGGTCAGCCACACCCTCGGCTACGGATAATGTGGACACCTTGACTGCAAGTGACATCAGTTGTACAGATGGGAATGGCAATACAGTGGTGTCAGCGGGCACATACACTTTGGGCACCACGACGGTCACGTGCACTGTCACTGATGGCGCTGCGAATATGGATACATGCATGTTCACCATAGAAATCATAGGTAAGACTGGGTAGTGGCTCTTTGTCCTGAATTAATGGAACTGAGTAGTTTTTGATTGACCGACGGATGTTGCGGATAGAAAAGGCAAATTTGTTTTTGGCGTCCAGCTCATTTATTTTCTTTTGATTTAATGCTGCCTAACAGATGATGAAAACCCTGACATCACATGTCCTGCCGCAGTCACGGGCATGTCTACGGACGCTGGAGTTGCGACTGCTGTCGTTACATGGTCAGCCACACCCTCGGCTACGGATAATGTGGACACCTTGACTGCAAGTGACATCAGTTGTACAGATGGGAATGGCAATACAGTGGTGTCAGCGGGCACATACACTTTGGGCACCACGACGGTCACGTGCACTGTCACTGATGCCGCTGCGAATATGGATACATGCATGTTCACCATAGAAATCATAGGTAAGACTGGGTAGTGGCTCTTTGTCCTGAATTAATGGAACTGAGTAGTTTTTGATTGACGACAGATGTTGCGGATAGAAAAGGCAAATTTGTTTTTGGCGTCCAGCTCATTTATTTTCTTTTGATTTAATGCTGCCTAACAGATGACGAAAACCCTGACATCACATGTCCTGCCGCAGTCATGGGCATGTCTACGGACGCTGGAGTTGCGACTGCTGTCGTTACATGGTCAGCCACACCCTCGGCTACGGATAATGTGGACACCTTGACTGCAAGTGACATCAGTTGTACAGATGGGAATGGCAATACAGTGGTGTCAGCGGGCACATACACTTTGGGCACCACGACGGTCACGTGCACTGTCACTGATGCCGCTGCGAATATGGATACATGCATGTTCACCATAGAAATCATAGGTAAGACTGGGTAGTGGCTCTTTGTCCTGGATTAATGGAACTGAGTAGTTTTTGATTGACTGACAGAAGTTGCGGATAGAAAAGGCAAATTTGTTTTTGGCGTCCAGCTCATTTATTTTCTTTTGATTTAATGCTGCCTAACAGATGATGAAAACCCTGACATCACATGTCCTGCCGCAGTCACGGGCATGTCTACGGACGCTGGAGTTGCGACTGCTGTCGTTACATGGTCAGCCACACCCTCGGCTACGGATAATGTGGACACCTTGACTGCAAGTGACATCAGTTGTACAGATGGGAATGGCAATACAGTGGTGTCAGCGGGCACATACACTTTGGGCACCACGACGGTCACGTGCACTGTCACTGATGCCGCTGCGAATATGGATACATGCATGTTCACCATAGAAATCATAGGTAAGACTGGGTAGTGGCTCTTTGTCCTGAATTAATGGAACTGAGTAGTTTTTGATTGACTGACAGAAGTTGCGGATAGAAAAGGCAAATTTGTTTTTGGCGTCCAGCTCATTTATTTTCTTTTGATTTAATGCTGCCTAACAGATGATGAAAACCCTGACATCACATGTCCTGCCGCAGTCACGGGCATGTCTACGGACGCTGGAGTTGCGACTGCTGTCGTTACATGGTCAGCCACACCCTCGGCTACGGATAATGTGGACACCTTGACTGCAAGTGACATCAGTTGTACAGATGGGAATGGCAATACAGTGGTGTCAGCGGGCACATACACTTTGGGCACCACGACGGTCACGTGCACTGTCACTGATGCCGCTGCGAATATGGATACATGCATGTTCACCATAGAAATCATAGGTAAGACTGGGTAGTGGCTCTTTGTCCTGAATTAATGGAACTGAGTAGTTTTTGATTGACTGACAGAAGTTGCGGATAGAAAAGGCAAATTTGTTTTTGGCGTCCAGCTCATTTATTTTCTTTTGATTTAATGCTGCCTAACAGATGATGAAAACCCTGACATCACATGTCCTGCCGCAGTCACGGGCATGTCTACGGACGCTGGAGTTGCGACTGCTGTCGTTACATGGTCAGCCACACCCTCGGCTACGGATAATGTGGACACCTTGACTGCAAGTGACATCAGTTGTACAGATGGGAATGGCAATACAGTGGTGTCAGCGGGCACATACACTTTGGGCACCACGACGGTCACGTGCACTGTCACTGATGCCGCTGCGAATATGGATACATGCATGTTCACCATAGAAATCATAGGTAAGACTGGGTAGTGGCTCTTTGTCCTGAATTAATGGAACTGAGTAGTTTTTGATTGACCGACAGATGTTGCGGATAGAAAAGGCAAATTTGTTTTTGGCGTCCAGCTCATTTATTTTCTTTTGATTTAATGCTGCCTAACAGATGACGAAAACCCTGACATCACATGTCCTGCCGCAGTCACGGGCATGTCTACGGACGCTGGAGTTGCGACTGCTGTCGTTACATGGTCAGCCACACCCTCGGCTACGGATAATGTGGACACCTTGACTGCAAGTGACATCAGTTGTACAGATGGGAATGGCAATACAGTGGTGTCAGCGGGCACATACACTTTGGGCACCACGACGGTCACGTGCACTGTCACTGATGCCGCTGCGAATATGGATACATGCATGTTCACCATAGAAATCATAGGTAAGACTGGGTAGTGGCTCTTTGTCCTGAATTAATGGAACTGAGTAGTTTTTGATTGACTGACAGAAGTTGCGGATAGAAAAGGCAAATTTGTTTTTGGCGTCCAGCTCATTTATTTTCTTTTGATTTAATGCTGCCTAACAGATGACGAAAACCCTGACATCACATGTCCTGCCGCAGTCACGGGCATGTCTACGGACGCTGGAGTTGCGACTGCTGTCGTTACATGGTCAGCCACACCCTCGGCTACGGATAATGTGGACACCTTGACTGCAAGTGACATCAGTTGTACAGATGGGAATGGCAATACAGTGGTGTCAGCGGGCACATACACTTTGGGCACCACGACGGTCACGTGCACTGTCACTGATGCCGCTGCGAATATGGATACATGCATGTTCACCATAGAAATCATAGGTAAGACTGGGTAGTGGCTCTTTGTCCTGGATTAATGGAACTGAGTAGTTTTTGATTGACTGACAGAAGTTGCGGATAGAAAAGGCAAATTTGTTTTTGGCGTCCAG